TTTTAATTAGTTTAACTTTCCTGATAGGATAACAGGGTGCTCTGAGATTGAATTCGAGTATTCCCCTCCCCTCCGGAGCTGGAAGCAGGGGCTACGTGCTGCTCTGGAACTGCCAGGGGTCGCGGCCTGTGTCTCTGAGGGTGGAGGGGGTGTTTGGACAAGCAGATCCAGGAGAACATTCCTTGGGCTGGGAAGTGAGAACGAGAGCCCTGAATCACGACACCGGGGGAAAGAAACGGAAGATCTGATTGCAAGGATTTCAGCCCGAAATGACAGGCTTTCTGTGAAGGAATGTGAAAACCCATCGCATGGTGAGGGAGATTCATCTGGATACAATATTCTTTTTAATATGAAAAGACGCTTCCCCGGTGGGTTGGGGGACAAGGTTTTTAAGACCCCGTGGGACTAGGGGAGAGGGTTCTTAGGTAAGATTAGGGTGCAAGGTCTGGTTTTTAATTGATCAGCATTTGGTCTTTATTTCTGCAAACAGGAATGTGCCATTAAGGACCTTACCCAGGAATGTCCGTATTGATTTTGAGAACTGGACTGCGCTACTGACACCATTCCCTGCTTGGAGTCCAGAGCAAACACCTCGCTATCCATTATTTTTGTTGGTGTGTGAGATGAGAGGGAGGAGAGAGAACTTCACGTGTCCCAGGAGGTGCCCTGCTCCCTGGTCCTGCCACAGGAGGAGGCCCAGGCCTTTCCCTAAGGAAGTTCTCAGGTCAGAGGGGCAGGGAAGGATTCCACTTGGGGGATCAGAGGGGAAGGAACCCCAGGTTCCTGATGGCATAGGATAGTGTGGGCTCCTGGCAACACAGTTGAGATCAGTCCTGGTTAGGATTCTGTGTTCAGCCTACCTTGGGCAAATGCCTGATCCAGATGCCTTAGAGCAGCGGTTCTCAATCTGTGGGTCGCCAACCTGTGGGTCGCGACCCCTTTGGGGGTCGAAGGACCCTTTCACAGGGGTCGCCTAAGACCATCGGAAAACACATATATAATTACATGTTGTTTTTGTGATGAATCACTATGCTTTAATCATGTTCAATTTGTAACAATGAAAATACATCCTGCATATCAGATTTACATTATGAACAAAATTACAGTTATGAAGTAGCAACAAAAATAATTTTATGGTTGGGGGTCACCACAACATGAGGTACTGTATTAAAGGCTCGCAGCATTAGGAAGGTTGAGAACCACTGATCTAGCTTCTAATTATGTTCAATTTGTAACAATGAAATTGGGGGTCACCACAACATGAGGAACTGTATTAAAGGGTTGCAGCATTAGAAAGGTTGAGAACCACTGCTTAGAGCAAGCATGTCAAACTCGCAGCTCCCTTGTTTATTTGGCCTTTGTTAGCCTTTGAGTTTGACATGCTTGCCTTAGAGAGAACTTGGGCTGAACCTCTTTACAAAGTGTAAGAGCCAAGAGGGGTCCTTAGGAAAAGGCGTGAAAGGGTTTTCAGCAAATGGCTAAGACCCGGATGGGCACAGGGTGGGCTGTGCAACAGAATCCCCAGGAGGCAGCATGGGGACTGCATCCGGCCCAAGCAGATGGAGGAGCAGATGGGGTGAGGGAGACAGGACTTACACATGCTCTGGTCCAGCCCCTTCCCGATAGAACCTGAGGCCCAGAGAGTGGACTGACTGGTGGCAGGTGTCAGGACCAAGCTCAGTTCCTGACTCGGGCTCTAACCCCCCACTCCAGTGGGTCTCCCGGGGAGTCCTGGCCTTTGGGACCTGGAAGCAGAGCTGAAGCGAAGCCCTTGACCAGACAACCATATAGTCCCCTCCCTCCTAGGCACATGTTTCTCTGAGTCCCATGGAAAGGGAGACACTCAGGCAGCCTGGAGTAAGGGCTCCTCTGACAGGGTCCTAGCACCCGACCGTGGACAGCACCTACCCAAGAGATCCCCCTCTTTTTTCCAGCAGAACCCAGGTTTTGTAGTGAGTGGAAATCTCTTCATTTTAGGAAACAGGCCAGTTCCCTAAGCCCAAGAGATGAGTCCTAATTAGCCTCATGATATTCCAATAGCATTCCAATTACCTTTGTCCGTGATTGGCTACGGGTGGGCATATGACCTAGTTCTGGCAAATAAGACATGAAGGGAAGTCTGTAGGGGCTTCTGAGAAAGTTTTTGCTTTCCTAATAAAAGGGAAAAATGAAGCAGACACTGTCATGCCCCCACCCCACACCTCTTTCTTCCTGCCTTCAGTGCAGATGTGTATGTAGCATGAGGGCCAAGCATGAGGGTAGAAAGGCAAAACACCCTTAGAGTGGCAGAGTGGACGGCAAAGCCCAAGCCCTTGTGGCCTGAGTGCGTGGCCGGACCCATATCAGCAGCTGTCTGCCGCCAGGCTTCTTGTTAAGTAGACATTAAACGCCCTTATGGTTTAAGCTCCGTTAGCTGGGTTTCTCTCTTACTTGCAGCCAAAAGCAACCCTGATTGGCACTGGCCATACCTGTTAGTGTGGCTCCAGCCAACTGCAAGAGAAGTTGAATAGAAGCAGCCTTTGGTCCGCCTCCCCAGCCGTGGGCTCTGCTGTCCTGAAGCCCCCACCCAGCCTGCGTATCATCGCTGGAGCACACGGAATCCGGGAGAGCCCTCCGCCCACCGCGCCACATGCCCTCAGCAGCCTGGCCAGTCCTAGGCCTCTTTCAGTGCGACCCTTGGATGGCCTTTACCGACCTTGCCCATTACCACAAAACACACAGCTGACAGACCACACTGATCACTTGTTTATTTACCAGTGACACGTATGGTGGCCTGCTCTGGGTCAGTCACAGAGCTGGCACTGGACCAGCAGGCAGGGTACGTCCTCAGGAGCCCTCAGGCTGGTGTGGCAGACACGTCCGCAGCAGCGTGTAGAGAGCAGAAATGACAGGATGGATGAACTGCTTTGCTTCTTTGGGCAAAGATCAGCCCTTTCTGCCCCAACAGTGTCCTGAGCCCGTCTCAGAGGAGGTGGCAGGAAGGGGCTCCTGTTGGGTGATCTTCCCTGAATAGGCAGGGCCTTGGGTGGACTTGCTCTTGGCCACTCACTTTTCTTCCCAGGCCTTCTAAGGCCAAGGCCCTTAATGACTCGGGGAAGGAGCAGTGGTCACGGAGGCTGAAGACCTAAGTGCTACTGACTAATTGGATGTGTGACAGGACACATGACTTGCTGGTTTCTCAGAGCCTCGGGGTTCTTGAAAGACAAACAAGGATACTAACACCTGCCTGTCTCATAGGGCTGATGAGATAAATAGTGGATAAGATCAAGTGAGATAAGTGGTGGCTGCACCAGGGAGCCTGACATGGGAGGTGGGCGGTGTTCATTCATCCGCCGGCCCCTCCCCATCCTCGAATGCCAGACAGGCAGCACCGTGTACCTTTTTGTGGGAGGCAGATGTGGTGGCCAAGAATCTGCCCACCAGGAACCAGGCACATGCTCGGCCCTTGAGGGGGTTTCCTTGGGTTCCCGTACTTTCTCCTGCCCTGAAAAACGCCATCAGTGGGCCTCACTTATCTGCTGTGGCCTTTCTTCCAAGCAGCACAAGGACAGAAAACGGGGCTGTTGGGCAAGGGGGTGGTGTCTCTCACAGGGGTTCTGAGGGTTCCCACCGTCATTCTGGGGTCTTTGCTCCAGCAATTTCATGCAGGTTCATACTGTCTGCTCAGGGACTGTCTGCCCAGGGACCACTAAGCACTGCCCATTCTCGGCGATGCTCTTCCCCACCAGGCATGGCTGTGACGGCCAGTCAGCAAAGGGAAGGCCTTCCCCCAGGGAGCTCAAACTCTAGAAAGACAAACTCTGAAGGGACT